TTTTATTGCCGTTTAAAAACTGATTGATTAGACATATGGAATCTGATTGATTAGACATATGGAATCTGTCCAATCGTTATAATCGGTAAGCATATAATGAATATTGTAAATATAATGAATATAATGAATATATATATCCTGTATGTGCGTAGTTACGTTTGCCAGTAAATATAGTAAAACGGAACAGCAATAGAACAGCGCAAAACTTTATATAAAATCTATATATACAAGAAATATGAAAAGGATAGCATGTTAATGACCATCGCCTCTACATTATCGACATTTTTGAAGATCGTCATTCACTTTGTGGCATCTTCTAAATTGCTATTATTGCCTTACCCTGGAATACATTAATAGTTATTTTATTGTAATTTTTATATTTTTTATGATATCAAAAAAATTATTATTCCGCTGATAAAGAAGGAAAACAATAATAAGGAGATAATAAGATTAGTTAGAGAATATCATCAATCAGTTTTTGCAATACTAAAGAGATTATTATCTTGTTAATAAAAAGAAGAATAATAGTAAGAAGATAATATAAAAATAGTGAGAAAATAATATAATTTTTATTATAAAGAATAAATCCCTTCCTTTCTAGTTTTCTTATTCTCCTCTCCGTTTTATTCTTCGTCAGGTATCCAGAGATTAATGAAGAATCTTGAATATAATTCCAGAGTAAGTCTCCTTTATTAAGGGCAATTCAACATGGAAAAATGACATGAAATAACAATTTATAGCATTAAGATATGACAATAGCTTGTATAGTGTTCTTCAAGTACTCCGGAATTTTTAGGGATAACGTAAATGCAAAATTTCGACTCGGGCAATATAAAATCGTTTGTTATGAAGCCGGCGTTTCCGTGAAAAATCGAACATATGCTCTCACTTGAATCCGTGATTTATGTAAAATCCAATTACGACGAACTTTTACGTTTTGACGAGACTAACATCGTTATTCCGTTCGACGGCTCAATATGAATTTGTCTCGTTTAATTTCGTTCGTGTCACTTTCTCTCTTTCTCTTGAGTTGAACGTGTTTAGATCTTAAATTTTGGACCACACATCGCGTACCTTGCTGTGAACACTTAATGTGACCTAAAGATGACACGTTTGACTGCGTCAAGATTCGACATCGTCAAGGATGACCGCACTGAGAGGTTTCGAGATCGGCGTTTCGTGATGTTAACTCTGAGAATGCGCATATTCGAACGCGAGTCCACGCGAGAGATTTATTTCCGATTGTTAATACGCTTACCTCTATCACAGCATACAGACGTACGTTAGATACGCGCTTTGCCATACAGAGTGTACGAGTGTCTATAATAGGCTAACGCGTAGGGCGACGTGCGCGTCGTGCGCGTGTAACTCTGTGTGTGCGTGTGTTTACAGATGTACCTTTGTATGTGTGCGTGTAGTGTTTGCTCAAACACACATTCGTAACTGGATTACGATGTATACGCTCCTTCGGTATCCAATTAGTTAGTTACACATTGGTACTTAAGTCTCATTCGAGCCACACGCATTTCAATACCGAGCCTAAACTACGCGAGTGTTATCTACGTATCATACCGTCCTCCGTGAATTACCCATGAAAGTTTTGGTAGCCGGCAATCGTTGGTATGGGTAATAGTAAAGAATTCCTTTTTAAAGAAGAAAGAAAGAAACGATCGTCGGATCGACGTAGAACAGAGTCGCGGCCAGACTAGCGATCTGATCGTCGCGACGCACAAACAGACGACGCGATAAGCAACATGTGACGCAAAGTAATATGTGAAGAAAGTGGCTGATTAGGCAACATAGTAATTGGGGATTTATAGACGGATAACACTGGTCTACAACAAACTTTTTCGACCAAATTATGTGTAGTATTTTTTACGCAGAATTTCAAAACAATTTTTTAAAGAAATTTAATTAAAATCCAGAATTTTTCAGTGATATGATCTTTAAGTTTCAAGAAAATGATTTTTTCTAGATATATAGACATTACTCAATTAAGGATATAATTAAGACTGTAAGAAATTACTGATTTGGCTTGCGATATGTCTCTTTTAAAAATAAAAAATGTCGTATCAATTTTATCATATATTGTGCTTAATTGGAAAAAATCGTGTAAAAAGAGAATTAATCATTAATCATAATAAACTTTTATAAACAACTATATTGTTTCAATAAAAGTATTTTTTATAGAAAATATTTAATATTGTGATAATATATTTCAATATAAAAATTTAGAATTAAATCGAATTGCAAGGAATATCTTAATATATTAAGTCAAATAACCATTATAAAAAGACAAGAAATTATGGATGTTTCGAATTCCACGCATAAAAATAGACAAGAAACACATGAGAAAATCCATGTGAAAAATTACCTGTGGACCAGTGTTATAATTAATATTGTGACTGACACGTATTACATAAGAGTAATAATTAACATTTCTAGAGCCGTTAATATTAGGTAATACAATACTCTTATTAACCAGTCTTTAGAAATTAGTAACACTATTAAACACGCTTTCTTAATCTAATACTATAATAAAATGTAAATTTTCTTAAACAAAAAAATTTGCTGCTATAATAAGTTTTGTTTTGTGGCTTTGTGGCAATCAGTGCATTAAAAAGCTTTGTGGCAATCAGTGCATTAAAAAGATACTAATTTCATAGTGCGTGACGTCAGTTCAAAACTAGTCTGACAACTGGCGATCTAACGCATGAAAAGATCGAGATAGGCGTGAAGCGCAGAATTTGGTCGTGATGGTCATAATAACGGGATAGATTACGCGCGAACATCGATGGCGAACCGACAACTCCCGGATTTCGCGATGGTTGCAATTGTAATCGAGAAAGCTATGAAATATGTGTCCGATTCCCGGGTAGAAATTAACTAGGGTCCTAAGTATATAATGGCCCTCTAGCCAGGAATACTTCAAAATGGACATCCCTTCACAGAGCCCATATATGACAAAGATAGTCAAATTCTGAATAGAATTTCATGAATAGGCCATGAATTGATGCTGACATAGGTGCCTCAAAACAGACATACCTTTGTAGGGCCTAGATATGGCCAAAATAGACAAATTCTGAATGGAATTTCGCGAATAGATCATGAATTGATGCTGACGTGAATGCTCCAAACGAGGTTTATGCTAATAAGGCTTAGTCAGTAGCAAGTTAACCAATTCCTGAAATAGTTTCAATGAAGAAACGATTATTCATTAATAATTCATGATTATATGGTAATTATAAATAAGTATAAATTTTAGTATTACGTAATCGTTGTAATTTTAAATAAAAAATATGAATGGATAAATTAGCCAGAGAAAAGAGATGCTGGATATTGATAATAATAATTGTATTATATAAATCAAGTATCATGTATAGTAATTAAATATATAATAATATTTATAAAAAAAGATTTAATATTTATTATATCTTAAATAAATATATTAAAATATAGGGCTTCAATTTGTTATTTCAGTAAGGATTTACTTAAGCATGGTCTAGTTAGAGTTACAAGTCTAGACGCTAATTTAAGTAATATTGATACTAATTTAAGTAATGTTGAGTAATAATCTTGGCGTTAACATAAGAACGTTATATATCTGTGATATGTAACTAAATGACTTAAACAAATTTGTCTTTATAAGATCTTAAAAGAAGTAGGAAAAAACTGTCTAGGCCTTTTTAATCTCGGTTTTAAATTTCTACCCGGGTTTCTTCTCTTAACACAGCATAACCACACTTGACGCTGCGAATTCGAAAGATTCGCACGCTAGCGTGTCGCATTTCTCTCGCGCAACTTTCTCGTCGATTACATCTCGTGTCATCGTTCACGCTAGAGTTCTTTGCGTAAGAATTGAGACACCGCGTGATGATTCCTGATTGAACCGGATTCTATCCGCCATTAATAGGGAATAGGAGTGAGAGGGGGACTCTCATAGGAGTGAGAGAGAAGCACTAAGACTGAAATGACGAAACACGCTGCAGCTTCTCTCTCACTCACTCATCTTTCCCCTAAAAATGGCAGATAGTGTCTTAACTCTTACTTGAGGAACTCCAGTTCACGCGTAAACTATTCGAGACGCTACTCTTTCTTATATACGAGCACACGCGCGCACCTTTCCGTCCTTTCCCTTCCGTCTCGTTGCCTTTATCGTCAGATGTCCCGCGTCGTGCGCGTTTACGATACATTCGCTCGATAACCGACAGGATGCGAACGACAGGAAGTACACTCAACGGAAATAGCGTACACTACGTCTTTAGAAGCATTGTATACACGTCAAACGTCAATTTTCGCCGCTCTGCGTCCACTCGCGCGTACCTTTTTACTCCTAAATCGTGTGTATCTAAACCTACCATGATACTGCGGTGTTTATCGTAAATGTACATATACCACGAGCGCACGGGATGTGTTCGCACGATCTCCTTCCCTTTTGTCGTCTCCTCCTCTTTCGAATTACAAGGATCGCGGGCGATCTGCGATTCCGACGTGGTTTTGCCGTTTTATTCTGGTCAAAATGGGTCGGAGGGAAGATCTCCGCTCGTCTGCAGGCAAGTCGATCGCCACGATTCCGTTATGGAGGGGAGTTTGCTACTTTTTATACGACAAGTGCAATAGTCTCACTTCGTGAGCGCTGCCGCAACGAGTACTTGCACTATTTCTCTCTCTCTCTCTCTCGTCGCTCTTCCGCGGGAGATCGACTGAGCGTGCGCGTCTTTTTCGTGCGCTCGCTTCTATGTGCTTCGGATATATTCTACGGGATTTCGTACGATTACTGCGAAAGTATGTATGTGTAATGTATATACGTGTGTGTGTGTGTGTGTGTGTGTATGTGTATTTATGCGCGTGAGCGTGTGTCAATGTGTGCCTTTCAGGATGGGAGTGTCTGGCTGCCGTACACTCCGGTCCGTTCACTTGGGGTAGACGGGAAGGATGATCGAAGGTGGGATCGGTGTGAGGGAGGGCCAGAGCGAGGTAGGCATTAAAAATCATGACTATTCACACGGTGGTCTCGATATTGGCAATGGCGTATTGTCAACAAATACTGTCCTTCCCATAATTCTCCAGGTACATCTCCTGGGGCGTGGCTAAGTTGTAGCGTCCGCTCAGCCGGCTACCGGTCAAGCCGTTATTGTGGTGGGTGTGATTCACATGGAGATGATTGACGTTCAGGGCGACGTTCTTCTTCTTTTTACGCGCCTTGTGCCGGTAGAGGCAGTACTTGAGGCAGCCGGTGGCCAGCAGGAGGATTAGGAATATACCAAGAGCACCGGCGCCCACCGCGACGTACAGCAGCGTCATGCCGAAACGATACGAGCAGTTGGCCTCTTCCTCGTCGAAGCCTGACGGGCAGTGACGCACACCGTCGCACCATAAGACCGAGCTGATACACGCTTGGATCTCTGGACACCTGACGAAGAAAGATAAGGATATTAGAAATGAAGCAATTTATTCTTTGCAGTGGAAAGGATAATATTCTCAATTTTAAAATTTACTAGAATGCTTGGAAAAGATAATCCTTTTTGGATGAGTTCTTTCTGAAAGAGTCATTTTCACTCCTTGAGATTATGTTTTAAGATTCTCTCTGTTTTCCTCATTATTCGTATCAATCGATGACTTTTGAACATACTGGAGAACACGTATAATTCCAAAAAAATATATCGAAAAGTAGACCAATGTTCCGAATCCCGAAAACTGAATCGGGACAATCTTCTGAAATACAATTTTCCTAAAATGTTATATCCAAAATACGAATATTGAGACAATCTTCCGAAATGTTAGTCCCACGAAATTGTTCTGTAATTATTATGTTAAAGTAAATGTAACTTTTTCAAGGTGTTCTATTCTAAAAATAATTAAAAGTTACAAGAGATTTTTTTCTCAATCACAAGATATAAAATGGCCATAACAAGACCTGAAAGAGAGAGAGAGAGAGAGAGAGAGAGAGAGAGAGAGAGAGAGAGAGAG